TTTTTTTTATCAGCAGACTTTAATATTGAGTTTATTCTTTTTTGCTCCACAAAACAAATGGTCACAACGCTGCAGGTTTAGTCTCAAGTTTATTTAGTCCGCTGTGTTTATGGATGCTGATTCTCCAAGTTGACATTCAAACGTGCTACAGATTTTTGCACAACAGATTTATTGAGGAAACATGATTATAATGATCATTTTTAATATGAAACAAAAAAGAGAAAGTGCCACGTCTGCTAATTATCATTGTGATTCGTTTCCCATCCAAGTCATCTCAACTTTGCCATGCTTCTCCTCCTGCATACTTTGRCCTACAGCTYKCATTGTAATTTATATCTGTAAAGGTCCTGTGCCAAATGATTGCTATGCCTTTTGGTACCTGTACAACTTGTAGTTTTTGAAATATTAATGTTTAAACTTTATTCCAAATTCATATAATGCGAGTCAATGGGGCCTTGTAATGGTCCAATACTGCCCCCAGCTGTACTCAACTTGGTACTGCACCATAGTTTTTTATATTTAATGTCAATAGTTCAGTGTTTACAATACTAATATGATTGTATTTTGATGTTTTACTATAATATTGTCTTAATACTGCTCTATTGTTGTAATATTATGCATTTTTGTGTCAATAATTGTATTGGCAATGTGGCCTCTTTCTGCACATATACAAACCAACCCCTGGCACCACATTTTCCCACAGCTCCACTGGTCTAACGGTCTATGTCATGGACTTATATGTGGGGGATCAGGGTTCAAAACCCAGCTAATGAAACTTTAACAAAAAATATCTTCCAACTTCATATTGTCACTCAATTACCTTAATTACAAACACCTGCTGACGTGACAGGCACAAGCTGATATAGAAAACATATTTGAACTTGGTCAAAGTTCACTCTGCAAGTCCAATGCTGCAGGCAAAGCCATTCTGCAATGACATGCTACGTGGCAATGCACACTTGTTTTTACATCGTAAAAACAAAACCCATGTCTAGTGTTTGATAATGCTGTTGGTGTTAATTATTCACACTCATCATCTGCATATATATTATCTGTGAGAAAAGTACAAATAAATCATCTCCAGCTGGTCTTGTGCGCCGTAGTTTTAGGTAAAGATCTCACACAGTCAGTTTGTGCTCAGTGCTGGAGATGACTCTCAAACTGCCACACCAAATATTGACTCAATGTGCATCAAATCAATGTGTTCGATAAAGTCGGTTACTTGTGGGAGCCATCTTGAATTGAACTGACTCCAAAACTTAATAAGTTGTGCATGTACATCAAAATACTTTTAAAGAATTTTATTAAAATAGCTTTCAATGCTTTATTGAGTTTAAAATGACCATGACAAATAGWTTTTGTTGTGTGCTTGGAGTAGGAGTGCAGAGAAGTTGAATTTAGTCTCTCCTGATGCTGCATGGCTACCTTTATATTTTTCACTTTGTTCCATTTTCTCTATCCCTTTTACAAATTTTGAACAATAATGTCACAGTATTTTCTGAGGAACTGGTAAACAGGGTCAGGGATTTCCAACTAACCAGTTCGTGTTTTTTCTCGCAGAGATTTCGTTGTCCAAGTTCAAGGATGCCGAAGCTACAAGTGGATGGACAAGCTTTCATTGCTGAGTTCTTTTAATCAATTTGTAAATAAAAAAAGGTTTCTGCTCCGCTAGATAGGCTAAACTATGGAAGCCGAGAGCAGCCATTTTCTGTATTATTATCATTTTCCATGGTTTTCTCGAGAAAATGCGTTTCCAGATGGTTTTCCTCATCATTCAGTAACGTGGTCCCCTCAGC